CCCTTAGGAAAAAATCTTAGAAGAAAACAATAAGCGTAGATAACTTTACTCTCGAATCAAATCAAGAGGTTCCCGTTGAGTACAACGGACATGAGGGGTGCTAATACCTTCCCCTCATGTAATCGACTCCCGAACCTAGAATATTGGTTGCGATGACCATGTTCTTACCTTTAAAGGTTTTATCGATATTTTCCTTTTCCATCCTTGGAATGAATAAAGTTCGGTGGCGACTCTGTTTCGAACAGTATTTTCCGCGGCTATCGCGAGGATCGTATTTTTCGAGGTACGACAGGTTTGTGTATGGCCTGCCACAAATTCCTCGACAATGGAATAAGAGATTCAACAAGTTCACGACACAAATTGGTTTCACTAAGAGCCAGTTCGACCACTGTGTTTACTTCATATTTCGACCTAGGAATTCACTTGTTATTTTGTTGCTTTATGTCGATGACATCCTTAGAGCAAGCAATATCGTCGAAGATGTTATAAAGGTGAAGGATGAACTCGATAAGGAGTTCGACATGAAGGATTTGGGATCTGCCTCCATAATTCTTATAATTGACATCCAATGAGATAGAAAGCATTCAAGATTATGCATATCTCAAGAGACATACCTGAAGAAGATTCTCGACAAGTTTGGTATGTCAAACTCAAAGCCTGTTCTAACACCGTCTAATCCTCAGTACAGGCTAAGTACGATTCAAAGTCTTAGTATTGAAGTTGAAAAGTCTATATGAATATCATTCCATATGCTAGTATAATAGGTTATTTGATGTACTTTTTGGTTTGTACGAGGCCATACATAAAGTAAACAGTGATCTTTGTAAGCAAGTATATGACCAATCTTGGAAAGGTGCACTGACAAACATTAAAATGGATTCTTAGGTACATCAACAGGTCTCTAAGTATAGTTCTGATTAATGGTGGAGCTTGTAGTCGAAGTTTGTTCAAACATGTTGTCGAAATATGTTAACTTTGTGTTTAAATTATCATGTCGAATTGGGCCTTACTTGTAAGCCCAATTGTCAAGTTAACTTGTAGTCTAAGTTAGCTTAGTAGTTTATAAATAGACTAGTTCTTCAGGTTGTTGAGAGAGATTAATTGTTGGTATTCACTTATAATCTTTGAACCCTTATTGAGAAAGTAAATAGTAAAACAGTTTTAACCAATTCTTATTATTCTTTTTCCTACTTCTCCCTTTTTTGTAAAACCTAATAGGATTTATTGTGTTTTTTCAAGAGACTCAATCTTTATCTCATAACTTTGTTCTATTATTTACGACATCCTTTCATAAAAATGTTGAACAACTTGATACTTTCGGGATGAGTCCAAAATATATCACAAACAATTACTTTATCCTTACAATCTTCGCACCTAAAAACATGATGGTTATCATCAAAAATCTTTAAAAGTTGTTGCATTTCGGTCTTGGAGCTCTTATCGCCATGTTGTTTCGATAACATGTATTGTATATCTGCTTAATTTTTAAAACAATTTAAGGTATTTTTTGTTTCAAATCTGCAAGTATGTTTTTCGGTGCCACCCTGATTAAAAACATTTCCGAAACAATTGTATTCTCCTTTGGTTTAAGGCGACATACAATGTGATGACCGACTAGCTCGGTTTACAAGGCATGATTATGTATACCAGAAACAACATTAAATTTCCACATATCATTCACCTTACAATATCCATGCAATTTAAACGAACACTCATATTTTTTTCGATCCAGTGTCATCACGTTTCAACTTTCAAATTGGTGGAACGTACATGCCACTTCTATCGCATCTCATGGTTGCAAATGCCCGCCTTCTATTATAACCATTGTCAGACTTTCCAATTACAATGCTAACCCCCAATTCCATGGCCTCCATGCAGACCCATTGAAGCATATGTCCGTGAGTAGTAAAAAACTGTTCATTTCTAAATTATTGACAACCATCTATCTCGACAACAATCAATCTAGCACCCGGTTTAACATCATCATTCATCTCATCCAGTTTAACATCATCCTTCACTTCATCCGATTTTACACCATTACTTGCAAGAACTTTGGGAAACATATCCGAGTGCACCATATCTAATACGATCCAAAATAGAAAAACGATTTTAAAAAACTCACAATAACAGACAAATTTAGAGATTATTAGATGCCAACCTTTGCTTATTTGATCTATCAAATGTTGGCATATTTCATTCTTTTTGTAGGTGAAAATGATTAAAGTCACTCTTGTTTTTGATGATATGCTTTATTGTGTGAAAATGTCTTGGTTGCTTTGATTTGTGTGCTATTGTGCAGAAATTAGGCACAAAACAAGTGAAGAGTAAGACATAAGAAATTGGGCAAGGAAACCAAGACAGCAGAAAAATATCATAAAACTCGTTGTGCGAAGCTCCCAGCGAACATCCCCAGAAAAAACATCAACAAGTTCGCACAACGAACTTGCCAACGAAGGCCTTGGAGAGCATGACACTGTTCATCAAGAGAGAAAAGAAACTGAAACTCGTTGTGCGAAGGAGCTAGCGAATGGTTCACTGGAGCGAAGGAGAAGCGAAGTCCTAGCGAATAGCCCCATACTTGAGGTAGTAACTATTTAGAGGAGAATTCGCTGTGCGAAGTTTGCAGCGAAGCCTTCGCAGTGCGAAGGATTTCTCGCACAACGAATATATGGAAAAGTCCCAAGGGCAGTTTAATTGTTCAGAGGCACCTCAAGTGCCTAATTTGATGTTCGCTAGGCGAAGGATCTGTTCGCAATGTGAACAAGACAGATCCTGAATGTACTATGCAAGTGCTTTTCTTACTTTTTAGGAATATGAGATATAATTTTTGCATCAGAACTTATCTCTCTTCACTTTTCAAGTTTATTTTAGAGAGAGAAAGACAAAACCATAAGAGGGAGGAGGTAAGATCTTTGATCTCTTGTTGGGGTTTGGATGTAATCTTTTGATACCTTATGTATTTCATCTAATATATGTTTGTAAACTAGCTTTGATTCTCTATTGATTGATTGTCTTTGATTTCTTTTGTGGGTCTTGACAAAACCTTTTCACATCTTTGATCTAAGATTTTCATCAATCAATGAACAAACTTTTGACATGGTTTTGTAAGTTGATATTCATTGTATCTTTTATTGTATTGTGTTGATTAAGTAGCATGGGTAGCATTAGTAGAATCAATACGATATTGTGCGGGTGCGTGATAATGGTGATGAAGAACGATGTTCACATACATTTGGCAGATTAGATGAATACATGTAAAAAGGGTTAAGCGTATGTACGTATTCTGATCATTGCGTGAGTATCAATTCTTAATGCTCTGTGTTGTGTTTTTGTTGCGTGAGACATCACCAATGAGACAACACAGTTGTTCTCTCGATATTGCGTTAGAGATGACCTCTGTTGTGGGTGATATGTGAGGATTTTAGATGAATGATTGAGTTGTGTTTAACATGATCAGAAGAATGCATGTGTTATCAATTGATGAGATCCAATCCCAACAAGGCTCCGTTTATATTTTAGTTTTTACTTTATATTTTCTGCCTTTTATTCATGGTTCCTTGAACCTTTTAAACCAAACCTTTTGAACATCAAACTTAGAAATGTGGAGACCGTTGAACGACGTTCTTTCATCGCACCGATCCTTGTGGAGACGACAAAACTGGGTACTTAATATTTTTTGTTTGCTGCTTTATCACTTCAACAGAGATGCACATCCGAAGCATGAAAAATAAATTCATAGATGCACATCTGATGGTAACGTACATTTTTCAGCTCAATAATAAGATTAATGCAAGCAACGAGGAATAAAACGAGTGGACTTGACCTTAAATTGCAGTTTCTTTTTCTCCATTTGATGTGATAAAACACGTGAATAATGAGTTGGAGTCGAAATGTTGATTGAGAATGAATGTTTTTAAGGGTTTGGGGTTATGAAAGTGGTATGAAATGTGAGAGAGATGGTCATGCAAGGTGGTGATATATTCAATTTCCTGTTTGACATTTTCAAAGATGCACCTCCGAAAAATGTCACTGAGTGGTTAAATAAACTAACTCAATGAAAAACACGCAAAAATGGGTTCATGAGTGTTTTCGAAAACATATCTTCGAATTCACCATAAAAAATCATAGAGATGCATCTCTGGACCAATTTTTGTCAAAAATGGGGTGATGGTTTGATCTACGTAGGATGTAGTGATTTAAGGTATCTTAGAGTAATTTCGAGCTTTCAATGGTGTGAGTCACACCCTAAAGATGAGAAAAGAAATTCTCAAATAATTATTATCGAACACATTTGAATGTAATTTCGAGTTTTCAGCGGTGTGAGCCACACCTTAAAGATAAAAAATAAAATTTTCAAATAATTTTATAAAAAAAGATAATATACTAACCATATAAATTATTTTTACACTATCAACTAATAATAATCATATATTCCATAATCAAATCAGCCTGCAAATTTTAAATTATTATATAATTTAATATTTTAAAATATTTTAATTAAATATATGTGTAATACTTTTCACTAGGAAGAAAACCATTATCACCACAAGCAAAACACACTTCCTTGACACGGATTTTCATCACGTCAATGTGCTTCTTCATTTCGTTTTGTTCTTTCCTCACAAATTCAACCGGCTCTTGCTTCTTTACCCTTCTGAGAAGCTTCCTAAAAAGTGAGGGAAAAATCCCATTTTTCTTATTTTCACGTACGTTCTTCGTATAAATGCACAATAACCAATATTCAATTCACTTTCTTCATTTCACAGCCCTATTATAAAATTGATTTCTCCTGTTCACAATTTCCTTTCTACCTACCACCACCTTTTCCATCTTCGCGTACTTTCTCGATTAAATCAAACAAGTCTTCTCAATTTCTCGATTTCTAGGGCAAAATTCTCTTCAAAACCCTAATCATTGCAGAATCGTACTTTTCCTATTTTCTCTAAACTGTAAATTAGGGCGTGAATTTGCCGTTGCTTAGTAGGAAGAAATCGAACAGCATGTTTTTCAGCGGCGATCCCTCTAATCGCAAACGAGTGGATTTAGGTGGGAGAAGTTCGAAGGAAAGGGACAGAAAGAATCTTCTTGAACAAACGCGATTGGAACGGAATCGACGGTTGTGGTTGCGTCAGCAGAACTCTGCTGCACTCAGGATTCAGGTTTTTTTCTCCTTCTTAATGCGTTTGATTTGATGATTTTGATTGAATTAGTAGTGGCTGATAGTAGAATAACTCTGATTTCTTGTAGTGAAAATCGGTGCAGTTTTTTGTACAGTGGATTTAATGCATTGTTGGTGTCTTGAGTTGGTTGTGGTGTTTTGAATTTCCATTTTGAAGTATTAGGTTTACTGTTTTGTCTTCCATTAAGCGTGTTCTAAAACTAGAGTTTTCATTTATTGGATGTTTTATGAGATGTGATGATGAATGCTCGTGTTCACACATAGAAACACAATGACATTAATAGTTGAAACAGAACTACGGTGAGTTGAGTTGGTGTGAGTAGAATACTCAACTAGTCATACTTAGCTATCAATGGCTAGCGGAATTGTTATTACATTGATAAAAGAGAAGAATAGTATTGTGAAGAAAGGAGATAAAATACATCTAGATGGGAGTAGGAATAGGACATCCTTTTAGAATTGAAATGAAAAGAATGAGGTGAGGTAAAATATCTAAATAATGCAACCAAGTTCTTGAAATTCTATTCATATTGGTGATAAATGTCACTCTGAAGCAACTTAATGGGGTACTGAAGAAAAGCCTCATCCACTATCCCATCCCATTAGGTGTAATGCAATGAGAAAAGGCGATTATGTTATCCTATTTATAGTTAGTTATCCTACCTCTGTTAGTTATCTTGTTATAGTTATCTCTCTGTTTGTTGAATCATTCAAATTCTGTTGTACCGTAAGTATAAGTCTCCAAAACGTACCTCATAATAACTATTACAAGATTCTGTGACCATTTTTGTTTTCTCTCCCTCAATTTCTCCCAAATATCTAATACTAATAGAGAAAGCTCTGTATCAGGTCTATGAGTTTGAGAATGTCAGTTTTACTAATTCTATTTAGAGGCTGTTTGACGTAGTTCTTTTTTTGGCATTAATAGCTACTTTAAAATTAAAGGGTGCGTTTGATTTGCTAAAAGAATAAGGGAATGGACGTCACAACTCTAATTGTCTTGTGTTTGAATTAAAAAATGTTTACGGAACAGGACAAAAATTGGGATTAGGGTCTGGACAAAAATTTGTCCTTCATTAAACTATGGGACAACTTTTTGTCTCTAGTACAAGTTATTTAAAATATGAAAACACCATTTTATTTTCTATTAAAATAATATTATTTCTCTACTATATTTATTTTCTCTTTCTCGTCCTCCTTTATTAATATTTACATTTAAAAGGGTATTGTAGTAAATTTTTCTGTATTTTATTTGCCTAGACCATTATCCATCAAACATCATACAAGACAAAGAAATGTTCACTACTTTAAAGGTTTGTACTGTTGTGTCCAATACTTACCCCTTTTGTGAATCAAACGCACCCAAAGCTAAAGCTTAAGAGTTTTTGAAGTAAAGTTAAAGTTGTTTGGTAATTGTTGGTATTTTCTATCTTAATTAGTATTTTTTTAATGAATGATAGAATTTGAGTTAATTTATAAAGAATAGATAAAATTATAAAAGCTCTACTTGATTTGAAAAGCTCCTCTTAACTATTTTAAAAAAAATTCCTTATATCTAGCTTATTTTTATATACTTAAAAAAGATAAGCCCATTTTTTTAATTAATATTTTTTTTTAGAAATATTGTTGGCTTAACTTCTTTTTTTAAGGAGAAGAAAAGTGAAAAATAAGTTAGGCCACCAATCCTCAATATCACTGTCTGAACGCAAGACGATACTCTAGGGTGCGCTTTTTACACGCCAAAGCACAATACAACAACTCAACTCTTTGTCCTTTTAGTGCTTGGTGTTCAACATAATGCAATGATACAACACAAGCAAGATAGGAAGGGTGGATAGTGTGAAAGAAGTGTTATCAAATATCCGCCATGGCGGCTATACATGGTGGTTTTTGGACTCGCCGCAATGGTAAATATCAGCCTATATTGCGGGTTTTTCTGCTATAATGGCGCCACAAAGTGGCCGTTATGGAGGGGTTTGTTGGCTCTCTGCCATGAACCTCAATCTGTCATGGACAACACTGGGTGAAAGAGAGAGGGAGAGAAAAAGACTCTTAAGTAGAAAAAACGAGTAGTTTTGTCTTTTAGGTATTGTTGTCCTTGAGATAGAAGTTGTTCCATATTTATTGACCAACAAAATTTAGAGCTTTTCATGATTAGACAGAAATTCTAAGTTTCTTCGAAAAAGAACTTTAACTTATTGTCGTCTTAGTCATTTGCACTTCAATTCATTTACTGAAAAAGAGAATAATAGAGTTTGATATTAATAAAGAAAGTGAACAGTTGCATTTTGTTTTAATAAAGAGAAAAAGTATGAATTTATTATGAATTATTTTTAGTTAATATTTTAATTATACAGTAACAATATGTAATAATATTTGATGTATAAAGTAAAACAATCTAAAAGTCGAAATGAAATAAATTATAAATTATGTATAGGCTGAGGTTAATATATATAAGCTGAAGCTGTTATATTTGTTTACATCTATATTCATGAAATAATTTATTATAAATTACATATCAATTTGTTAATGAAGTACTTTAGTTTTCTATGTTGCATACATCTTTTAATTCGTTGATAAAAAGTGATGCATGCACATATTTATATCTTATAATTTCAATTTTAAGTAATAATAGAGTTAGTAATATAGTCATATTCTCTCTCTTTTTATTAAAATATAGCACAAGTATCCGTTTCTTTCTAAATAACTGACTTCACTGTTCTCTTTCTTCATTAAATGAATTAAATTGTAAAAAAGTAAAATGTCAAATAAGAAACTCGTGGAGATTTAAGTCCAAAGCAAAATTTAGGAGCTAGCAATCACCATATATGAAGAGAGACATCAGAGGAGAGAAAAGTCATTGATTTAAATGTCTATAAACCAATTGTAATCTCAAAATTGATATGCTGAGTTTTAACCAAAATCTTAAGAAATTAGTAGTATAAAAGAACATACTTTATCATATCATTTAGAAGTAAACTTCCAGGGATTTGCATGAGTTGCAGTGGTCTCAGGACTTGGGGTTGGCATTCCTGCCCATTGTAGTCTAAACCATTGATTTAAATTACTCGCTGTCATCATGAGGCAGTCTATAATGGAAATGCCATAGCCACGTAGGTACTAAAACATCTCTTCAGGGCGTCTGCTTCCTACTACCTGATCTCGCTTTTGTTCTTTGACCAACAACTGACCAAATTAATCATCTTAATAAATCATTCAGCATCCATGTGCAAAGATAGGATCATATTTTTTTAATTCCTATCTAGCAAACATTATACTAGTAGATTCCGGCCTAGTACCGTCATCATACCTCTCATTTCCTGAATTTTGAATTGGATAGCAGGCCCATAATGAAAAGAGTCTATACTAGGGAGAGTAGTGGAGTTGGAGAGTATTGTTCCCCAAATCGTTTAGTGTGTGTAACCATGTGATAACTTGATTCAGTTAGTTTTACTCTTACATAGGGGAGAGAAGGATTGGCAAATTAGGTGACAAAGGGGAAAATAGTTTGGAATAGGAGGAGATTCAGGTTTATAATACATCACACTGATATTTCCTTTCTCTCTAGTCTCTACTGGTTGAGCTCTACTAGAATATCCCATCTTCACCCTGATGATCTCTTAACGGCCATCTCATCTATCGTGTCACCTCCAACATTTTAAGGGGAATGATGCTAACTCTGCATACTTGATGATTTCAACATACAAGATTTGTTTCTAGTAAAGTGATTTATGACAAAGCCATTTTCTATTTTTTGCCTCTTTAATCCAAGACTCGAAATAAATAATCCATTTGATCTTGTTAGTTTTGATGTATTTTTTATTCAACTTATGAATCAATTATTTAGCATTTCCAAATTAGAGTTCACCGACCTAGATTTGTTTTAAGATGTGGTCTACTTGATAAAATTTAAGCATACAACTGGGTAGATCCATTTCTAATGAATGAAGAACTACTATTCATAATTTTCTTGCAAATTGTTTACTGATTCTTGCTACAGAAATGCTTCAGAGGGAAAAGAGTTTTCAGAGCAGAACAGTCTAAGTTGCGACAGAAATTCCTTAAAACCTATGGGAAGAACTTACTTAATGTTGACAGGTGAAGTTTTTTGCCTTCTCTTATTATTGCAGTGAAACAGAAAGCTGCTTGCATACCTACAGTAAAAATTTCTAAAAATTATCAATGCATTTTATTTTAGTATTGTCTTCCTTGAACATTGCAATACTGCAACTGTGCGGCTCATTTTAATACCATTTTGTGTGCATTCAGGAAAGCGTTTGGTCCAGATTCTGATTTTCTTCGCCAGTTCCTCTATTTCTTTAATGCAGAAAACCATGATGATTTTTTAGTTCTTGTGCAAATTGGCCGATTGCTTCTACAGTTTGTTCAAGAAAGTGGTAATTGCTATCCGGCATTTGGCATTATTTTTACTGTTTATTTTCTGCTGCACTTTGATTGTAAGGTTTAGGCAAGATTTTACGCATTTGAGCATCTAGTTCTATTATATTTGATGAATTTGAGCATCTATTTCTATTACATTTCATCTATCCACCCACCATTTTCCGCAATCTGCCATAGACAACATCAAATAGTTTGTAAGCCTTATTATGATGGATGTTTTGGCTTAGGATGCACACAAACATAAATACATAGCTCTTTTATTTTCTGTATGCTACTATTTTTGTCATTGGTGTTGTTAGAATAAAAGTAATTTGCAATTCTTTATATATCCACCCGCATCCTTGCTGTTTATGCTAGTTTTACGAAGTGAATAGAACATAATGCATAGAATTTCCATAATCTACAGGGGATGCTGTGAGGCTTTTTGCTGGTGAGGATTACTCATCCATATGTGCTTTTGTGAACTACCGAGTGAAGAAACTTGCATATAATTGTATTCGTGCAGTACATCATAATAGGTCTGCTCTATTTATTTTAATTTACTAATTTTGGGCCTTTGTCTTTTCTTATTTTAACACAGCCACACGTATACATATCTATACACACACACACATATATATATATATGTGTGTGTGTGTGTGCGCGCGCGCGCGCGTGCGCGTGTGTAGATATGTATATGTATACATATATAAGGAGTTGGTTTTATTATACGGGGAAGAGTGATTTTTTTGGGAGAGTTTGAAATGTGAATGGCTACTTTTGTTTTCATTTGAATCTCAAATTGCTCATCCTTTTTCTAATAGGCTTAATTGCAACTTTGGTTCTTCTATTTTTCCTTTTTCTGAGTTTTGATCCTCCTATTTTAAAATTCGAAATTTTAGTCCATTTTTTAAGTTTTATGTTAGACTTTAGTCCCTTTTTTAAGTTTTATGTTAGATTTTAGTTCCCCACTCCATTTAAGTGTTATTTTGCATGACATGTCAATTGAATTTATGATGTGACTGACTTAGGTGGCAAAATACAGTTTCCACATCATTCATAATTATTTTTTATTTAAATAATATATAAAAATATTAAATTAAAAATTAAATAAACTAAAATAAATTTAATTAAATTATCATAAATGTTCTATTAAAATTAATTAATTAATTTTCTAAATTAAATAAAAAATCAAATATGGGTGAAGAATATCTTCATGTTAATTACCACTAATCTAAATCTAAAAAACAAAACAAAAACATATTTCAATTGGTGAATCCAGAAAAAAACAAATCTGGGAAAAATAAAATGAAGTTCACGCTTCACACCGGCGGCAGAGTAAATCGGTGGATTTGTTGCACAGTGGTTAAGTATGGTGTGAATTTGAGGTGGAGACTTGTGGGTTTTCCTACGACTAAGGTGAAGGAAAGAGCAACTCGCGTGGTGGCTGATTTTGTTTGCAGCGATTTCCTTCTTTTTTTTTTTATGTTTGCGGTTTCTTGTTTGTTTTTGTTTTGTTGTTATTATTGAAGAAGTAACAAGTTGTTGCTATTGTTGAAGAAAGAAGTAGATTTGAATCTAGTGTGTCTTTGGTTTTTTTTAAGTTGAGCTGATGGTGGTTTTGTTCTTGTTTTTCTTCTGATTTTTACAACTTTTTCTCTCTTATTAAGGTCTCCCCTTTTTTGATATTGGTTGGGTTTAAAAAGGGATTTTGAGTTTTTGTGATTTCTACATGTTGAGGAGAATGGAAATGTTGAGGTTTGTGATTTGTAAAGGATGAGAAAAACTGATGTTATGAATTCAAATTTATGTGATTTACAATAATGAATGAGAATGAAGTTGAATTGTGTTTGTTCTCTTCTGTTCTTACTCTTCTCCCAACCCTCTCTCCTGAGTATTTAGTGTCTGATATATCAAATTTCCTGGTGATTTGATTGCTACTCCTTTAAATTTCACAGTTTTTCCCGGAGGTTTGTGATTGCTGTGGGTGATTTGCATGGAGAATGTTTTCACGCCAAAATTTGAGATTAGGAAAATGAAGATATGAATTTTTGGGTGATGAGGATTGTGAAAATTTCTTCACATTAAATAATTTTGATGAAGATATGAATTTAGGAAAATGAAGATATGAAGACTTTTTTTAAGAAGATTTGGTTTTTTATATTTAATTTAGAAAACAAATTAAATTATTTTTATTAGAACATTTATGATAATATAATTTATTTTATTTTAGTTTATTTTAATTTTTTAATTTAATATTTTATATATTATTTAAATAAAAATTAATTATGAATGATGTGGAAATTGTTTTTAAAATATAATGCTTAAATTGAACGAGAGACTAAAATCCAACATAAAACTTAAAAAAGGGACTAAAATTTCAGATTTTAAAATATAGAGATCAAAACTCAAAAAAAGGAAAAATAGGGGGATCGAAGTTGCAATTTAAGTCTTTCTATTATTTTACAAAAAGGATTTTTATTAAACGGAAGTATAGCAAGGCCTCCTTGTAGTTCAGAGTTTGTCTGCGAGGTAAGTGAAGTTTCACCAATGAATGGTTTTAGCCAGATGTCAAGCTTTGGCATTACCAATTGGTAAGACATTAATCTAAACTCATTAACCACTTGGTTAAAGAATTTTAAATTCTTCAACGGAGTAAAAAATATTAAAGGTAAAAGCCAGACAGTTAAAGAGGGTAAGAAAGGGCAACCAGACTACTCATGCCCTGCATATCAGAGATTAGGACTTCGTAGTCACCAGAATATCACCATAGAGAATCTATAAATTACCTTTACTCTCCATTACATATGTAGTGGCGCTGGTACCCCTTTGAAGAAGCAAGCATTCCCATATACTGTGCAGTGCCTCTGGAACTAGGTCCCCTTATGCTATTTTTTTAATAGAAGAATAATGTTTTTAGGACCTAGGAGTTTCATGGACTAACTCCCCCCAAATGTCTAAGTTGTTGGGTGAAAGCATATTAATGGGATAGACCTGTGCACGGTACACTATATAACGGGAGAGAGTTGCATTAGATGTATGAATCTGGAAGAATTATTTGTATTGAATTAGGTGTACGAATCTTGAAGAGGTTATTTGTATTGCATTAGGTGTATGAATCTGGAAGAAGTTATATGTGTTATTCTTAGTTATTGCTGCTCTTAAATGAAATATTTGTATTTCAAAGAAATTTTGGTCTTTGAAATGGTTCACAGGAATCGCTGAAGATTAGGAGATTGAGTTGATACTCGAAAAATGACTTAGCTCATCAGTCTTTTTATCACTGAAGTTTCTAGACATTTGAAAGTTTCAAGAATTAGGACCCTGAATAGAATAATTTTTTCTTCACACAAAATCATTACAACACTGTTTCCCAATACCTAAAACTTTTTTATTTGTCTCAATCTCTAACTTCTGTTTTCTCGTTACCTTTTTATTGTGTTTGTAGCAATATTTAAGCATGCTTGAATTATGTTAAATATTAGAGTAGGGGTCTATTTTGATTTGACTACTTTTTTTCCAGAGCTTTTGTGCTATCTTTCTAAGATATTATTTTACTCAACAGAAATCAGTTGAAGGATCAACTTTTATGGACTCCGAAGGAGTCTAATGCAGCAGCTATTCCATTATTGGAAGTTTTAGTACTGTTGATAGATCTCAAGCTACCATGGAGCTGTAAGATAGTAGGATATCTATCTCAAAACAATGGATTCAACCTACTTAGAGAAATTGTTCTTACAGGAAAGGTAACATAGTATTTTTTTTTTTATAATTTTTTTTATATTTCTAGGCATCCTGCAAGACTAATCCATGTCAAGTTGATTACGATGATATGAGATTTAAGTTGTTAATTATAAAGATTTTCAAACCAAAGGTATGACTCGAGAGAAAACACATAATTCCAACCTCCCAATTTTAACTCATTAATGAGCTGTTTCTATATTGAGTCACATGTAGTGAGTGTTGTAGCTCAATATTTTACTTTTCCACTTGACCCTGCAATCACATCTTGTTTCACGCATTTCATAAATTGAAATCCCCTTAAGAGAACACAGTGGCCTAAGGTAGATTTCCTACGACAAGGAGATTCTGATGGAAATGGAATCACATTAATGTTGCACCTTCCAAGTAGTTTAGATCCTTTTAACAAGTAGAATAAGTTAAGGTTACCTTGAACTTTACATTTATTATTTTTGTAATCTTCATGCATATAAATTAATGAGATTCAGCTGGGTGTTAACTCACTCAAGCACGTTCAGAAAAATCACCTCCTTTCAATTTTAACAGACCTATCCCAATCTCGTCTTCACACACTACTAATCCTTATTCTGTTGAATTTTTAACTAATCCCAAAATTTTGACAACCGCTTCCCAATGATCAACAAACGGATGATTAAAGAATTGATTTGCCTCACTAACAACAAAGAAATGTCTAATATGGGGGTATAGTTAAATAAATCAACCTTCCTACTAATCTTTGAGATGTGTGCGGGTCTGGTAATAATTTGCCTTGCTTTGGAAAAAGTAACATTTGGATCCATGGCAGAAAATATCTCAATCGATCTGAGTCTTCTGTTTCAAAGTGATGAAATGGATGCTCCTTAAACTGCTGAATTCTGGTATGTTCACTCTCTGTTGAGTATCTTCTACATAAACCAAAAGATAGATGCATAAGTTAGATGAAAACTAGCAAATAACAAGAGATCCTCTTACCGTAAGACCAAGTTGGATGACCACCCAACTCACATTTGAAAGATTGTTTATGATTGTATAATGATTTGTGAAGTTTGCTAACTAATCTTGACTCTCCCTGAGCCACACACCTAGAATAATTTTTTAAAATCTAGTTGACATAAAGTAAAGGCTGTTGATTAATTAATGGCTATCAAGAGTAGAAAAACAATGACTGAAACCATTTGAAGGTTTGTAGCACTATTTAATTAGGATTTGAAGTCCACTAATTATCATGAATAGTTTCCTTATTTAATTAGGATTAAGAGTCTAGTGTTAGTATACCCAATGGTCAAGGTCAATAATGTTTAGTTTTTTGTATAAAATGAAACCGTAATCACATAGAGATTTCTTTATTTTCCCTCCTTTTGCATCTATAACTTTATAATTTAAAACTATATGCATCTATGTCATTCCTTTTCTATAAAAGTTTATTCAATTATGAAAACACGGACCAGTGGATCAAATATACAAACAAAATTTATATTTCTTTCTTCACAAGTTAATCTGACTTTTTTGATCTATTGCTTATGTGCATAAATTACTTGAATGATCTACTGCAGAGTAATGCAGAAAAATGTATAGGGTCGTCTTTGGAGCGTGTGCTTACAGGTGTAATGTGTCACATTGGTCAGAAACCATGTATTTGTTCAGACACTGATCCAAGATATAGCTTCTCGTTGCAAATCCTTACAATTCCTTTCTTATGGCATGTTTTTCCAAACCTAAGACAGGTATTTATTGTACTTACTCTTTTTGATGGAGGTACTCTCTTTTATGATAACTAGAAGTTAAAAGAGAGGTATCAATGATATGTATCTATTTTATTAAGGTTCCTTCCTTCAATTTCTCTCTATTGAAATACACAATCAAATAATTTAGTGCACAAAACCAGACTTGTAATCTCTCTATGCAGCAATGAGTAGCATTTCAATGTGCAATAAGCTGATTTTATAATTTGAGTTGGGTCTAACTCATCCCTACAAAACTGGCTTGTAGGGCTTGTAGGGTGATGGATTGCCCCCACTTATAAACAAAACACATGTCATATCTCTAAACAATGTAGGACTAAATGCACCCCTTCAAACCCAACACCTTCAAATGTAAGACTAAATGCACCCTTTCAAACCCAACACAATAAAGGTGTTGGGGGCTGCAATTAAGGCGAAAATTCCAACTCAATTCAATATCGTGGGACACAAATTATTTGCTATATGCTATGAGACTTCTACATACTTAGTGTATGTTTGGTTCTGGTTTTTGGTGAGAAGAATTGATAATAAGTGAATTTATAAAAAGTGAGTTGGATGTAAAGTGATTTATTTTTGGATGTATCTATGTAAAAGTGAGTTGAACAACAAATTTAAGAAAAGCTATAAATTGTAGCTTTAAGTTAAAATCAATTCAACTTTAGAAGAACCAAACACCTCAAAATCGTTCCAGAATCAATTCTACACCTCTAGAATTGCTTTTGCATCTTCCAAAGGTTAAACCAAACATATACTAACTAGAATTTAAGGGGGATTGTTTAACTCAAGCTATGCTTAAGTGAGACATTACTTTTGTTTCTTAGATTTTGGGCTGAATCTAAATTTAACCCTACAAAATAGGCTTGTAAGTTCAGGATTACCCACCGCTTATTCACACATCTATAAGCCATATCCCATCCAATGTGAGACTTCAACACACTTCTCTCGCCCAAGACTATACTTCTAAGGTGTGACCCGAGTGGTTTGATAGTGGTATCTCAATAGTGAATGGTTGGTAACAATTTAGCAAATGATTATAGGCCTGGTGAGCTCAGTCCTGTTGCCATGCGAGACTAGGAAAATGCTACATGATTTCGGTCATTCTTTCCTTGCTAGGCGGTGGATCAACGACTTCAAGTCTTCCACGGTGCAATGTTCCACTAAGCGGTCAACTTGCTTCGCTTCGCTGAAACAATGAAACAAAACTATGAAAAACATTTGGTTAATAAAAAAAATGAAAGCATATACACCTTATTGAATTCAAGAACTAAAAAGCAACTAACTATATTAAATAACTCCTAAAATTAACTAACAACCTAAGATAACCTTATTGAATTCAAGAGCTAAAAAGCAACTAACTATATTAAATAACTCCTAAAATTAACTAACAACCTAAGATAACTAGGATTAATTCTCAGAATTTGGATTGGGCGTAACTCATCTCTACAAAACCGACTTGTAAGATGAGGATTGTCCCTCATTTATAAACATAACACAGGAAGTTATATCTCTAAGTAATGTGAGACTAAATCTACCCCTTCAAAGCCAAACACAATGAAGATGTTAGAGGCTGCAATGAGGCAAGCCAAAGTGTTGTAATTAAGGCGACTAGGGACAGACCGCAATTAAGGCGAGAAGTCCAACACACCCCCTCACGCTTGGGCCTCAATGAGCCCAAAGCGCGGACAATGCGGAAAGCCCAACAATAGATATAGGATAGACTCTGATACCATCTTAGAATTTAGGTTGTGCCTAACTCATCCTGCAAAACCGGCTTGTAAGGTGAGGATTGTCCCCACTTATAAACAACATAAGCCATATCTCTAAGCAATGTGAGACTAAATCCACCCCTTCAAAGCCAACACAATGAAGGTGTTAGCGGCTGCAATGAGGCAAACCAAAGTGCGGCAATTAAGGCGATTAGGGGCGGACCGCAATTAAGGCGGAAAGTCCAACATTAATAAAGACTAAAAACACTAAAAACATGCATATGATGAAGAGTTATCAGGGGCCCAACAGATCTTGGATAGACCTAGGTACAATCTTTGATTTTCTAAATTGGGCCTATAAATCCGGCTTGTAAAGCGAAGACTAACAAGCACCTATATGCACATTTTCGGACCACATATATGTGAGACTCTTAGCATTTATGACCACGATATTATTGTTTTCTATTTATTTCTCCAACCTTCACGCTGAGGTTTCCTCTGTGCGCTTGCTTATGTTGTGGATATATTTATTTTCTACTATCGCAAGTATCTTGAAAGTTGGATTGTTTTTGGATACTCAGGTTTTTTCAAGACAAGGCATGAGCCAACATTACATTCATCAAATGGCAACATTTGTGCCAAATTTGATCAGTTTTCTACCTAAGGATATATCAGATGAATTTCCTACCTATGCCTGTCTTCTTGGAAATATATTAGAAACTGGTGGAGTTGCCTTGTCTCAACCTGACTGTTCGTTCAATATGGTAAGCTTATTAATCCTACAATGTGCCATATGTTATCAATATTTTATGTTCGATATCCTTCATGTATCTCCGTTTATGATTTTTCTTGGGTTGAGTCAAAGGCTGGTGTCATGGTGGATATACATTTTTTTTTTCCCGATATATTATAAATGAAGAAACACATTAAAGAAAGATAATGAGCGCATATATAGAGACTGAAGAATAAGGTAGTAGGATAAGCTTGATTTCTTGCTTAGGAAAGGAGGAAGCACAAACAGGTTGAAATGATTGTAAAGAAGGAAGCATTAAAGAGCTTATTTGGTCTCATCTCATGACTTCAGCACTTGCGTAAATGTTTCAAAAATCTTATAAGGAGCATCTTAATAAACTTCTTGAGATAGGTCCAGTGTTATCAAATATCTGCCATGGCGGTTTTTGAGATGGCCACAATGGTAAATATCGGTCGATAGAGTGGGTTTTCCCACCATAATCTGCTATAAAGGCACCGCAAAACCGACGGTATGGCGGGATTTTGGCTCTCCGCGATGGACTGGCATCGATGACACTGGATAGCTTTTAAATCAATTTACGCAAAACTTATTGCCATCCCCTGTTTAATATGTACTCGTCTCTAAATTATATTTTTACGGCGAAAACAAATGTTGAGAATACTAATAAATTGCTCAACATAAGCTCTCATGTGATAAGTGTTTACTGAATAAGGTATCTAAACACTCCTTTAGAGGCTTGGAGGACTAGAGCTCTAAGGCTCTGCATACTAAACAAATTTTGGATGTTTCATATATCCTTATGTATAATCTTTATAATATCTCTTGAGGTCATTCTACATAAAGCTAGATTGTCCTTAGATATGATCACATGGCATTGAAAGTTATTTTTTTATTTTATTTGGGAGGGAGTATTGGTGGACTGGTGGTTTAAGTTGTTTGATTTTTTATGCAATTGAAGTTTGAAACATTTGCAACCTTGTGTATGATTTAAAGTTGAGCTGTATTTATTTCTGTTCAGGCCATAGACCTTGCAGCTGTTACTACATTTTTACTGGAAGCGCACCCTTCTCTGACAAGATCCGATGGTAGAGAAAGTATGTTTTCTAATCAGAGTCTGGTTTGATTGAAAATGTTCCTTTTCTTTCGAACTTATATTACCATGAACATTATCAACTTTCATCTCATTGTGTTTCTTTCATTTTTATTGATAAAAGAAGGCTAAGCCTAAGGCTAATATGGACCACCATTATAAATGGTCCTTAAAACACCATTAATTTTAATTGTTTGATTCATCTGTTCGCTCAGTAATATCATACACCTTCCACACCAAATATTTTACTCTTCTTCCTTAATCTTCTCGTTCTTCCTTCTAGCTCCTTTCTCCAACCGACAGCCCCTGCCAGACTAACCCACGCTAATAGTTATTGCATTGGCTTCCCTCGACAATGTAGACCTCCCTTATGATAAGGAGGTACATTGCTGAGAATGACAACCAGAGGTGGAAAATGGTAGAACATTGGAGAGGGGAGCTACGCAGAGCAAATGGAAGAGGGGAGGTGGCTGTCATCAGATCGGTCCTTGAAAGTATTTCCAACTCCCATGTAGAAAATTAGACGGGGAAGCTAGGGTTTATGGCTGAGAGAAGGGTATTTGGGTATTTGGGTCCTACTCATTCTTTGTAATCTTCTATTTTTGGTCAATTTTTTTTTAATTTTCGAAGAATGTGATAGTGGGTATTGGATCCAACTTTTCTTGTTCTCATTTGCTTCTCCTTTCTGATCTTGAGTAAAATTTCAATTTTAACTACTATGCAACCACTGCTCTAACAGAGGAGGAACTTTGGATGGCAGTTGAAAATAATAATGAAAAGTTTTTGCCGGAGGTAGCGAGTGAGGAGGAGATTGTGATTTATGTATCCTCAAAATAGGATCAATCAAGTCTGGTAGAAATCCAGGGTGGTGGAGTGAGGGAGAGAGAATCTTATTTGCACAATTATTTATGTCCTGATGTTTGCCTGCAGAGTTAGCCTTGCACACAAATTAACTATAATTACTAGCAGAAATATGTTTAAGTAACAAAGTTATTAAATTGATCTTTTCTTCATCATAGTTGATAACTTAATCTTTTTAATGCAAATATGAAATGGTTATATGTCTCTGTACCATTTGTTTTTAAGCTGATGGGTGTTAATGTCAGATTCTATGACTGCTGAGGATGATGTGACTGGCGATGATGATGTCATGGAAGTAGTTCTGGATAGGAAATTGGACCAACAAATTTGTAATTCCATCGATACCCGCTTCCTCCTGCAATTGGTATTCATCATGCAGCTAACTTTTCTAACTTGAGTGCCATCAAAATTTTCCTTAACCTTTATTTTTATTTTTATTTTTTAATTTGACGGTGATTTGTCACATTTTTATATGTGCAGACAAATATATTATTTAGAGATATTTCATCTGCCAATGGAGCAGATGATATGGAGGTTGCAGCTGTTGGTGCAGTTTGTGGGTTTTTATATGTTATCTTCAATACTTTGCCACTTGAAAGGATTATGACTGTGCTCGCCTACAGAACTGACCTTGTTCCCATGCTTTGGAAATTTATGAAACGGTGCCATGAGAACAAAAAATGGTCATCTTTCTCTGAGCAGTTATCATACCTCTCAGGGGATGCCCCTGGTTGGCTGTTACCTCTTGCTGTATTCTGTCCTGTCTACAAGTAAGACTTCAGACTGTTCATTTGTTTAATAAATTCTTGTATTGGTATATGAACTATAACCCCTGTGCCCATGGTCATTCGATTTTCTTTTAATCTAATCACAGTTTTGTTTGAGCGTGATGATTGAAGTATATTCTAATCTTTTTCTGGTCAGGCATATGCTTATGATAGTTGATAATGAGGAATTTTATGAGCAGGAGAAACCCCTATCACAGAAGGATATCAGCAGCCTCATCATTCTGTTGAAGCAGGTACTGTTTTAGGAATAGATTATCTATTTCTCATGAAAATTTGCTGATAGTTCTGAGATTGAAAACCTTAGGAAAGAAGCTCATTAATTGCTTACTGAAATGGAACCTTTTCTTCTTTTTACTTTAAGCTAGATCCATATAAGGTGTGTGTGTCAAATCTTTGCAAGTTTATGTATCCACTTGTCCAAAGAACTGGAGAATCTATGTTTTGTAAAACTGGTGGGCATGACCCAGGAATGTCCACCACATCAAGTTGTCTTACCAAAGCCCAAAACCTTCTCTCTAACAAAACACAAATCAATCTCCACGTGCTTAGTCCTGGAGTGCTATGTGCAAGGAGAACAACTGATTGGTTATCACACAGAATTACTGGAGGCTTAGTAGCAACATATAATTCTTTGAGAAGGGTTTGAACACAAAGATACAAATGTAACATTTTGCAATTACAGTTAATTTCAGCAATTTTGCTGTTTCTGCAGGCTTTGTGGCAGCTACTGTGGCTAAATCATACCTCATCTGCTAATTCGGCTAGATCTATTCTGGTTAGGACAAGCAGTAAAAAGCTGTCTATTGAAGCCGTTCAACAGAGGGTTAGCATAGTCGTCTCTGAGCTCCTGTCCCAGGTAGAACAGTGGAAACAATCTTAGCTGTTGTATATCTAGTTTTATGTTTCCTCTCCATTGGGCTATTAGACTGTCATGATATTGTGATATTTTGTGTATCTTCAAAGGCATCTCTTACTGCTTTGGGGATCTTTTATTGTTTATGGATTTTACGATGCTATGTCATAACTAAAGAGACTGGACACTCTAAGAGTTTCTGCTTTTTTAATTGTAGCCCCCTTATTGTTTTTCTTTCTCTTATCTAGTTTGATGTTTCCTCTCCATTGTGCTAAAATGCTGTCATGATATTGTGATATTTTGTGCATCTTTGACGGCATATCTTAGTTCTTTGCTTTGGGGATCTTTTATTGCTTATGGTTTTTACGGTGCTATGCCATAACTATCCGAGACTAGACACCCTTAGTTACTTCATTTTATTTAAGAGTGGACACTCTTAGTTACTGCGTTTTCCTTTTTCCTATTTCACTTTGAAGGATATCTTATTGTTCCTCTAAATGCGATTTCACTCTTTTTCTGATAGCACTCTTCTTTCTATTCGATTAGAGATATTTTGAGGTTTTCCTCTTTGTTCTAATATTTATTCACACAAGTTCCTTTATATCTCTTCTATGAAGATGGACCCATATGCATTTACATCTAATATCCCTAACCTTGTGCATATAAATTATTTATCTTTATTTTATTACTAACTTACCTTTTGATTTTCTTATCTTAGCTCCAAGATTGGAACAACAGACGCCAATTTACATCCCCCAGTGACTTCCATGCTGATGGGGTGAATGACTTTTTTATCTCTCAGGTATGATCCCTCCCTACTATTGTTGTAAGGTGAAACAATTTGCAATCTAATTTTGTAGTTGTGTAATCTTTTCTCCACAGGCTGTTATAGAAAATGCGCGAGCAAATGAAATTTTAAAGCAGGCCGCATTCTTGATACCATTTACAAGCAGGGTTAAAATTTTCACTGTAAGAATTTCATTCAATTTTGACTTCATCAGATATCGATTATGTTTGTATTATTATGGATTAAAAACGAATGCTAGTGAGCAGCTTTGGAGTTTCTGCATATCACATGTAACTGATGTATTTCATATACTTGACTACCGTATATAATTGTTTCATCAGTCTCAACTAGCTGCTGCTAGGCAAAGACATGGATCTCAGGCTGTATTTACTAGAAACCGGTTCAGAATAAGACGTGATCATATTTTGGAAGATGCTTATAATCAAATGAGTCAGTTGTCAGAGGATGATCTCCGAGGACTGGTGTGACATTCTTTCCTAAGGCCTATTCTTATACTCCTCCGTTTCAAAACAACTGTCGTTTTAGCAAATAAAATTTGTTTTAAAATGATTGTCATTCTCACTTTTTAATGTAGCAATAATTACAAAATTTTCAATATATATATATATATATATATATATATATATATATATATATATATATATATATATATATATATATATATATATATATATATATATATATATATATTGTGTCATTTAATTATTACTTCCGTACACTACTTCCAATACTTTAATAAGGTTAATTTAGTAAAAGTGTAACGTTTTATGACAACATTATTGCATTTCTTAATCGTTGTGTAAAAATTTTAAACAAAAGTCATTTTGAAACGGAGGGAGTATTTATTAACCATTCTCTACCTTATAGTCTTTAAGTGAACTTATAAATCACCCTTTGTATTCTATTTTCAGATTCGTGTGACTTTTGTCAATGAGTTTGGAGTTGAAGAAGCTGGAATAGATGGAGGTGGAATATTCAAGGATTTCATGGAGAACATCACACGGGCTTCCTTTGATGTGCAGTATGGATTATTTAAGGTCATACAAATATTTTATTATTATTCATATTATACCGACACACACATATCAAGAAAGAATTAATTCTTTTTCCAACATATAGTGTGGATGTAGTATAATTTTGATTTGCCTCTTTAAAAATATAAAGAATGTATTAATTGTTTTTTCAATAGTACCCTTACCCTTATGTATTAGTATCTCAACCTTTAGTAAATTAATTTGTCCTTATTTACCAAACCACTACTATAATGGCTCTTAAGAAATGTGGTTTGGACCTAACTTAACCCTACAAAACCGGCTTGTAAGGTGAGGATTGCCCCCACTTATAAGCACACGTTGAGACCATATATTGTCCGATGTGAAACTTTTAACACACCCCCTCACGCTAAGGACTGGACAGCGTGGAAATAGATGGTAGGTGGTCCGATAGCGGAAACCTGATAGCAGGTGGCCCACCGGATCTTAAACGAGACTCTAATACCATCTTAAGAGAGAATGAGAGACATTTGATCTTTGACGAAAATCTTTGAGGACCCTCAATAAAATAGGATTAGCTTTTACAAGAATCTGTCCTTTAAAATGTGATAGTACTTTCAGCACAATGGCCAAGCTTGAGCATCAAATTAAAGCTTTTTAATGTATCCTTGAATAAAAATATAGGTCCAGTTGGATGGTACTAGGGGTGTGCAAAAATATGGTTAACCAGACCATATTAGTAAAACTGAACTGCATTGAACCACAGAAACTCATTCCTTGATGTTCCCTGTATTTTCATTTTGTTATTTATTGGTTTTTGGTCATCTGAACATCAATGCATCCAGGAAACAGCGGATCATCTGCTTTATCCAAATCCTGGATCTGGAATGATACATGAGCAACATCTCCAATTTTTCCACTTTCTTGGTACTCTTCTTGCAAAGGTATGTTTTTGTCCCATTTCTCCCCTGTTGTTTTAATAAAGTGGGGCCTTGTATATTGACGGAAACTACCGCCTTATGCTGTTATGCATTTTTATTTTGGTTTACCTATATTGATTGCTTGGTTGAAACTGAACTTCACTTTCACATGTTACATTTGTAGGCTATGTTCGAAGGAATTCTTGTTGATTTACCATTTGCTACGTTCTTTTTGAGCAAATTGAAACAGAAGTAAGACTTAAGGTGTCTTTTTGGCCTGCTTTGTGGAGTTTTTTTTTTAATTAAAAGTTGAATGTTTAATGCTTAAAATCCTGAATTTTTGTGCATTTGTTTATGACTCCCTCATCGAATTAATGATGGCCTGAATAATTGTTTATAAGTGAGGGCACTCACCTAACCAACTGGTTTTGTAAGGTTGAGTTAGGCCGAACTCAAATTGTAAGATGCTATCTGAGTCTATCTAAGATTCGTTGGGCCACATGCTATCATGATTCCCTTATCAGGCCACTCATCATTTATATCCTCGCATAAATCCAATAGTGCTGGTGCAAAGGGGTGTATTAAGAGTACCACATCAAATGATTGATGACCTGAATAATTCTGTATAAGTGGGAATACACCTCACCTTACAAACCGATTTTGTAAGGTTGAGTAAGGCCCAACCCTAACATTGATATAATGCGTGACTGGTCATCAATGTTTTGTATTTCTTGAAGTGAAATTGTTCTGTATACTTCCTATAGAAACATGTTTCCTTCCCATCGTTTACATCCACACATATATCCAGTAGTGCTGGGTGTGAAGAGGTGTGTTAAAGAGTACCACATCGAACGAATGATGGGCTGAATAATTCTGTATAAGTGGGGGTACACCTTACCTTACAAGCCGGTTTTGTAAGATTAAGGCCCAACTCTAACATTGATATAATGCTTAGCTAATGGCTGATCGTCGATATTTTGTATTTCTTGAAATAAAATTGTTCTGGGCACTTCCTTTAGAAACATGTTTCCTTCCCATCATTTATATCCACGCATAAATCCAGTAGTGCTGGGTGTGAAGAGGTGTAATAAGAGTACCACATTGAATGAATGGTGGCCTGAATAATTCTGTATAAGTGGGGAGTACACCTCACCTACAAGCCGGTTTTGTAAGATTAAGTTAGGAATAACCCTAACATTGATATAATGCTTGGCTGGTCGCCGATGTTTTGTATTTCTTGAAAAGAAATTGTTCTGTGCACTTCCTATTGAAAGATGTTTCCTTGATTGTAACAAATATGTTATCTGCTTTGTTATTTGAGGAAGCTATACTTCCTGCTTTCTTACATCCTTTTTTCCTCTTATATCAGGCACAACTATTTGAATGACTTGCCTTCTTTGGACCCTGAATTATATCGTCATCTTATCTTTCTAAAGGTAATATTGGTTCTTTAGCTTTCATTTCCTTGGATCTGCCTCGCTCTTGAGAAAACTCAAATAATTTTCATTCTCGTTCTCCAAAGATGTTGATTTCATTTAATTAGTCCCCTTTTATTGGCAACATCAAATTGGTCCCTAAGTGTGACTTAATGCTGTTTGATTTGTCATTCTATGGACTGATCTAATGGCACATATTGAGGACTAGTTTGATGGATATGGGAATAGGGGACCAACCTCACGCCATCCTTATCTTAGGCATCCTCAGTTTCCCTAGTGAGTGTCTCATTTTGTTCTCATTGATTCTGTTTTGACTAACAGCGTTTTGAGGGTGACATTTCGGAATTGGAACTATACTTTGTTATTTTAAATAATGAATATGGAGAGCAAACAGAAGAGGAGCTGCTTCCAGGGGGAAAGAACTTGCGCGTCACAAATGAGAATGTCATTACTTTTATCCATCTTGTAGCCAATCATCGTTTGAATTCTCAGGTAAAGTACAATTGTTTAAATTTGAACTGTATTTCTTGATGCCAACAAATTAAAGTGTTCGTTAATAAACATAATAATAATGTTTTTAGATACGCCAACAAAGTTCTCATTTCTTGAGAGGATTTCAGCAACTTATTCAGAAGGATTGGATTGATATGTTTAATGAGCATGAACTTCAGGTTCTCTTATAACTTTTTTCACTTTTAGGCTTCTACAGCTATTTTTCTCATATAATTTTAACTTTAAATTTTGCTTTTGCATTGTGCTGTTAAGGATATGTTTAACAACCGAATTCATATCATTTTCTCCTGCATGTCATAATATACCCGTGCCACTGCTAGAAGGATAGGTATATAACCAACCATGTTTGGCCTGTAGTTGCTGTTGAGATTGTGATAGCAAAGGATGAGAAAAAATAATAACCTTGAATATTATTGATACTGACTTGATTTTAGCTTTGATACAGAAGACTAAATTCTAATTCCTATTTATAGGGATGCGTTGACGTAATCCTAAATCATAAATAAATAAAATTCATAATAAGAATAAGTAATATAAGACAACTCTGGAGGTGATCTTCACTTCTCTTCTACACATTTGCATCCCTTGAGTAAGTTGAAACTAAATTTATCTTTACCTGTTTTTTTATATCATATGACAGTTAATTTAGTTATTCTTTTTTTTTTCTTCTGGAGGGTGGGTTCTCAATGTAAAATAGCATTGTTGGCCATTGGTTTCACAATTTATATCGAATATGGTTTAAAGAGCAATGCAAATAGCATCATTGTACTATAGCAAATAGCCGTAGTTGCTCTTATGAAACAAATGATAACTGAAAGTCTTGATTTATTGATAAACTTATTTATTTGTTCATACTGAATTTCTTTAGTTTGCTGATTTTTGTCCCATTTTACTGCCATTTTATGGTGATCAATCATCATCTTATTCTTAAAAAAAGAAAACATGTTTGATCATGTCTAAGCATGACTTATTACCCAGCTTGCTTGACCTATTTTTTTTCCCCACAGCTTCTGATATCAGGATCACTTGACAGCTTGGACGTTGATGATTTGCGGCAGCACACGAATTATGCAGGAAGCTATCATAGTGTAAGCTTTCTGGCAGTTATGTGGATTTAGTCAATCATACATTAAGACAATTAAATGATACTCTGAATAAAAATCTCTAAGAAACTATCTCGCAGAGTTAGTTTCTTAGAGTATCATAGATTATCTTTTAAGATTAGTTTCCATATTTATTGGCTATTATGTTTACTTTGTTGATCTTGTTACATATTTATTATTTGCATCTTGTCTAAATATCCTTGTGAACCCTAACTTTTCATGTCATTAACTCGTGATGAGAAGGGCAAGACACCCTTTTGGTCTTGAATCGATTTCTCTCTTAATTGACTCTTGAATTTTTGCATATGATTTCTTCTGATAGGAGCATGATGTGATTGAGATGTTCTGGGAAGTACTCAAAGGCTTTTCAATGGAAAATCAGAAGAAATTCTTAAAGTATGATAACTTATAGGATTTAGTGTTTCTCTTTTTGACTTATCTTACTAAGAATAATAAATTTACCATCTTTACAGGTTTGTGACAGGTTGCTCGCGGGGACCGTTGCTTGGATTCCGATATCTTGAGCCTTTGTTCTGCATACAAAGGTGAATGTGTTAATAATATCAAGGGTCGCTAACCACAAGTATCAGACAGTGGTTTAAAATTCAATTAATTGAAAGTTTTATAGGAAATCATTGTATTACATACATTATTAATCTTAGAATTAATAGTTGCCTAATACTAGTAAGTTACTGCGATTGGTTGTTTCCTGTAATGCTTGTATATGTTATTAGACAAAGCGATCACTGGGTGCAATATTCTGACTTTGTTCCTTGTAGGGCTGGTGGTAATGCTTCTGAAGATGCTCTGGAAAGATTACCAACAGCAGCTACCTGTATGAATCTGTTAAAACTTCCACCATATAGAAGGTCTGTACTAGCAGTGACTGGTGATAGCTTGTCTTTGTAGTTTATAGAAGGTTTGTTATAGATCTCATGAGTGGTCATGAATTGAAAATGATTATACTCATGTTTGTAATGTGAAAAATTGTTTTATAAGTTGACAGTATGTATATTGATTAAATAATTAGTGAGAGTTTGTGACAGAGGTCTTCATTTAAATGTGTTGCTTGTAGGGGCAGGAGTAAGTTTTACAAATAATATGTATTAGATATACTTATGCATAGGAATAATGATAGTTAACTGTAGTATGTAGGGATATTGAAATATTCTCTTAACATTTAAAAAAAATGATTAAGGTTTCTTGGATGTTAGTTAACTGTAGCCTTGTAAAGCTTCTTGGATGTTAATTTAGTGAAATACTTTTGTTGTTGAGCATGAAAACACATGCTTAAGGTTTCTTAAAACACTGACTTTGAAGATATTGTTGTTGCTTTGAGCTAGATGTGATTCATTATACGGTATTTTTAAATTGTCTGAAGTCATTTCTAATTTACATTGTTGATACCACGGTTTACTGCAAATTTGTAAGTAATCTCTGGTTTTTAATTCCCACAGTAATATTTTCGATTGAACTTTTCTGAATTAGCTGTGATTGTCTAGTCTGGATTTAATATTCTCGTATTTTTTTCCTTCTGTAGTTTGATTTGAACATTAGTATATTTATGTCTTTTCGTCGATTTGCTTCTTGCTCTGGAAAAGCCTTTTTGTGTTAGTTGGTTTGCTAAACAAATTCATTGTTTATATGCAGCAAGGATCAACTCGAATCCAAATTACTGTATGCCATAAGTGCTGATGCTGGCTTTGATTTGAGTTAAAAGGAGGTCGTGTAATTTACCATAAGAGGTTAGTTTTCCATACCGGAAGAAGACTCGATTCTGGACAATTGTTAGAGCGGCATAGAAGACAAATATCACTATTGGATCCTATATGGCATGATGAGAATCGAGAAAAGGTGTCCTGTATATACTCATTTTTACTGTCTATCATGTATGTTAATGTAAATATTTTCTTAGTAAGATATGAATTCATTTTGTAAAATTCATTTTTCGGCAGAATATTTTCATTTATTGTAATGACAATCAAAATAGATATGCAATACTCTTGTGATATCTTGCAAAATTTTAATGGTGACGCATTGACGGGTAAAAAGTTTTTACGCTGTTATTTAATAAAAATATATTATTCTGTCATGTTATTTAATTAGTTTAAAATTTTTAGTTTAAAATTTTTAGTCTGACTTGATAGAATGTTGTGTAAAAATAGTGGATCACTTTTTTTTTCCAAATTTTATTTGTATACAATATAAAATTGCTAAAACTAGATGACAATAGTACTATCACCACTTTTTTTTTGCCAAATTTACTTTAGAAAACACGCTACCACTGATTGCATGCGAGATTCTACCCAAATAGGTAATTGAACTTTTAAGAAATGTGTTGCATATATTTATAAATCATAAAGCTAATAAATGGGTTAAGAAAATATTCTTTTTGCAATGTTTGGAAATTGAAATTTGGATGCACCACATGGCAAATCACTTTATCAAAATCGCATCAAATGCAATTAAAAATATATCCAGAGATATCAATCTTCAAACATGAAGGGCTCTAAAAAATTTGGATTCGATCTTTCGACCATTCTTTCAAGTTCTACTCTTACTCATTCAAACCAAGCATTTTCATCAACTTCCCATTTATATTTTACATTTGATAAGTTTTTCATCCTTGTTTTTTTTCTTTCTATTTTTTTATTTTATTTTAATGCACCCGATTCCTTGATAGATTATATAGCAAAGCTACAGTGTATACCATTCAACAGCATTTTTTTCCTATTTAAATTTGGTTTGAATTTGGACCATGCAACAACATTTTTTTCCTATTTAAATTTGGTTTGAATTTGAAAAATTTAGGTTAGGATTTATAATGGAATGATTTTTGCTATGATGCGTAAAAATATGAATTTCAAATTTGAATAGGGGTGACAATTGATAGAATTTGGACATGGTATTATAGTACACGTCTCTAAATCCGTAGTTTAAAAAAAAATCATGCACCTGAGTTCATATACGTGTGGGCGTCAATATTTGTACTCGTACCTGTATCTACATTTCTAATAACAGAGATGATCGATCAATTATAATTTATTATACCATTTTAATTTTTTTAACAATATTTTAAAAAATTGAGAATGTTATTTTTGAGTTAAGAAATAAAGTAATATATATATATATATATATATATATATATATATATATATATATATATATATATATATATATATATATATATATATATATATATATATATATATATATATATATATATATATATATATATATATATATATATATATATATATATATATATATATATATATTTGAACGTGCTCGAATCGTACCACATTCATACCCGCTTATTTTAGTGGTTAATTGCACGTGCTCGAATCTATTTTACAAGTTTTTACCTACTTGTTGTGAACGATTTTTGCGGATATCCATTAGGGATGCGTTCAATTGTCGTCCTTAAATTTGAACCCATAATACAAATAACAAAATATGGATTGTTAAAACATAGTTTCATTCTTGTTTGTCATTCACTTTGTTAATTTTTTAAGTGCAACCTAATTACAATTATGATATGGTTTTTCTTGTGTGATTATAGAAAAATGGTTGATGAACTATAACGATATGCACGGTCGTTTGTCTTAACATGCTTCGATGCGTATGGAGAAAGTTAAATCCTTGTGACTAGTTAAAGAGTCTAGTGTACTACTGTGGGAACGTCTTCATGTTGTCATGTATCTTAGGTGCATGACAATGCTCATTTCGTATGGTACATGCTCTTGATGTTGTTGTACATGTCGTTGTCATACATGATAGCTTAGTGGAAGCCCCATGTGCTATGTCACTACTTTCTTAATATGCACACCATATTGCTATGCACATGTGGAGAAGGAATATAACATAAATTTCTACAATGACTCTTTTAAACATTTGTTTTATACTAATTGTATCATCTCACATTGATGTATTTATTATTGGAGCACTATGACATACTGAAGTGTATAAATTATTCTAAAAATATACCAACGATATCGTAGCCAGATGAACCTCGATTTTAGGAAGTATTAGAGTTATATGAATTGAATGACTTCTGTAGGACATGATATGGTTATATTGACCATGGTCTTTTGTCAATATTTGCTTTGAGATGACACACAGAGACACCGTCATTTAATCTTTTCATTTATGAGATAAGTATAACTCTTGATGATGTGTCGTGCATCCTCCATTTTCCAATCACAGGAAGATTGTTGGACCATTATTCAATTAAGAGATATGAGACACTAGAGTTAATGGTGAAATAATTAGGAGTTGATACATGTAATATCCAAAAGGAGAGTGTATATACCAAATGATATCATGCTAGATTTTCATTTTTGAAGCAATATTATATTAAACACTTGGATGTCACTCATAATAATGCTGGTGATGATGCGCATGTTGGCTATCATATACAATGTGCATTGAAGACATACTTCATATTTTTGGTTGGCACAACCATTTTCATGGACAAAATTGTGACATATGTCGATGTTGTGTACCTTAAATAATTCACGGAATTTAAGAGGATTTACAAGTATAACTGGAGGTTATCTTGTTTGATTTACTAGTACTCAAATTTAGAAGAAGGCGGTTAATGGAAGATAAATCAGATGAGTGGAATGAATCGTCTATTTCATGTAATTTATAAATTTCATAATACTTGCACTACATGCTTACTAGTATTTCATTTAAACCATTTTCGATCATGAATCCTCTATCATTTTCCAAGTATTACCAAGTGGTAGTATGTTTCTGACTATACTAAAGAGGTGCCACATACGCGCTCGATTATCCCACTCATGGCTAGTGACTGAGTAATGCAAAATTTCTCTCGGCCATATTCTAATAAATGATATCTGTTTTACTCCATATAGTGAAGTTACATGTCTCTGATACATTAAGGGAGAGAACCTCATGCGGTTTTGTTGTTTGTCTTTTAAGCTTTACATTGCATTTAGTTTATATTTGAGTCTCCTCTTCCATCACATATCTTTTAGGGTCAAGTTTTTTATTCTCTTTTTAGCATTCATAATTCAAAGTGTTTGGATTTTAGTTTGAAGATTATACTTTAAGTCATTTATTCGAGTTTTTGGAACACGAACCATAATTAAGATTAATTAAAGTTGTGTCAAATGTAGAATCTAAAAACATAGTTGAAAATTTGGATTTTTGAGATTTTGGATGTGTGAATTAAATCACATGCATCCCTGAGTTGAATTAAACAAGGCATAGAGGAATATGAATTTGTTAGAGCTTGTGAGTCGAATCACAACTAGCTCCTAATTCAAATCATGCGGCTTTGAGTTGAATAACATATCCTTTTCTAGCCACTACCAAGTTTGAATCAAATCATAACCATCCCCTGACTCGAATCATGACCTGTGTGAGTCGAATCACGCCTTAGTCTTGAGTCAAATCACATAAAAAATAGGTCTCTCTTTAAGTGTTATTCTTATTCCATATTACATTGCCACTTGAACTAAGTCACCAAATGCTCTTGACTTAAATCAAACATGATTTTTTAACTTCTTTTTATGCTTCATCTCCAGCACATATAAATCATATTCATATCTCAACCTTTGATAATGTTAGGAAACACATTATTTCATTAATGATTTGAAAACTCACAAACCACTTGTTCTTACATTTTCAAAAGGGTTTTGAATCTTTCTTGAACACTTGTGAACAATTTCTTTCATCTTCTATCTCATTCGTTTTCCATTGTTGCATGGATCTGAATTTCATCTAGATAAATTCGTGATTGATTGAGGATATTGATTTTTGGGTTTAATATTTCTTTGAAGATTTGTTTAAGATTTCAGAGGCTTGAAAAGTGTGTAGTGTTGTGACAACTCCAATGGAAAATAAGAAGATTCTTCTCTCTAGGTTGATCTTGGTAGTGCTGCGTAAAAGCTTACGAACAAGGTAGGAGTTCATTTGATTTTTAGACATACCAATAATCAAGATACCGATGGAATTGTGTGGAAATTTCTACAGACAAAGACTTAGGAGAAGGTTTAGACTAAAAGATTCAATAAGCGGTCTTGAGTAAAGATTTTGCATATAGTTCACTTCATGGAACTATGTACAAGTCAAGATCCATAAAAGAGGAAATTTTATTTTCATCATTTTATTTATGGACTAATGATTGTACGAACTCTTGTAATATTGTTCAAAATCTTAGTGAAATACCGATAAAATTTTCCATGGGCAACCATTGAAGAGTGGATTAAGCATAAATCAAGGACGAACATGCCAAACCACTTTAAAATCCTGGTGTACATCTCTCTCTCTCTCTCTCTCTCTCTCTCTCTCTCTCTCTCTCTCTCTCTCTCTCTCTCTCTCTCTCTCTCTCTCTCTCTCTCTCTCTCTCTCTCTCTCTCTCTCTCTCTCTCTATCTATCTATCTATCTATTTATCTATCTATATATATTTTGATCACACACACACACACACATATTTAATTTCGTAGTGGATTACATGATTAGGATGTCGTTATTGCTTTTTAGAATCGCATGTTGATAGATTTATCCGTTGGTAGTATTTTGTTGTATAAGTTGTAGGTTCTGTTAGATTTGGAAACTCAATCTTGTCTGATTGTGGGTTAAGTCTGAAAACGTTAATAGTAGAATCTTACTTGTATTGAAATTTTTTCATATCACATCTTCTGAAATTGAGTGATTGTGAAATACAATTAGTTTGTAAGTTTTAG